TATATATTGATCAACCCTGAAATACTCAGGCAGTTGGACTAGGTGATTGCTGCAGGTCCTTCCAATTGAACTATTCTATATATAAATAAAATTAATATGTATGTATTTTACATATATATACATACATATATATATTTATACATGAAAGTACCCGATGAGGTTCCTTTTGGTGGAATCTAGGAGTTATCACTGTACCAGTTGGCCGTTTTCTTTGGGAGAGGAGCAGGTGAAGGTTTTGAGCAAGCTCCTTGCCTTCCATGCGTGGCAAAAGTAGCCAGCGACATCCTCTGAGGTGTTTTTGTGCTTCTCAAACTATGTCATTTTGCTCATTGCGTAGTGAAGTTTGAATCTTGACGTGATTTCTGGTATCCTGCAGAGCGTTTTTCCCGCTTACTGCTTATTCTGTAAGTGTGATAGCTCTGTATGCCTGTTATTCTCAGACACAGAATGCACCATGATCTATAGAACAAACATCTGTGACAAAACATTTTTCAGCCAGCAAAGTATTCAGAAATACAGTGAGAAGTGCATTCAGCTGTGTTTTTTGAGAAATATAGGATGCATTAACAGTGCTCCTACGCTGATTCTTGGCAGCAATGGGATCAGGAAAGAAATCATGAAATTAAGGTGATGTTAACACTGGTTTGATTGTGCGTTGTTCTGCTGTGGTCTGCAGAGAACCGGTGCTTGGGCCTGGTGGGGTTTTGGTTCTTTTAAAAGTTTTCCTTGTGGTGGTGCTGCAATGCAGCCATTGCAGCCCAGCAAAACAAAAAGAAAAGGGGAGAAAAAAATTAAGTGATATTAAAGTTCCTCTCAAAACTACTAGACTGATGATCAAAAGTCTTGAAAGGATTGTCCATTGTATGGCACCGTGACAAGGTTGAATTAATCATGGTGGGTTTGAGTTCATGATGAAAGCCCATGACAACCTCAGGTTGCAGTCATGGGCTGCAGTGGTTTTGTCTTTGCAGAGGACAGGGGAGTGCGTCCTTCCCTGCAGCTCTCAATCCATCTCCGTTGGCATTAACTTTTCTGGTCGTTCTCCTTTTCCAGGTCCACAGCAAAGACAAAAAATATGTCTGCAAAGTGTGCAACCGAGTGTTCATGTCTGCGGCCAGCGTGGGAATTAAGCACGGCTCTCGCCGCCACGGAGTTTGTGCCGATTGCTCTGGTCGAGGCATAGCTGGTCACCTGGACCACAACGGAGGAGAAGGGTCTCCAGACGAGTGCTACCCCGGGGAAGGCCAGTACATGGAAGACCCAGATGACATCAAAGTGGAAGGAGATGAGGAGATGGGAGACGATGATGACATCAAGTGGAAGGATGACGTGGGAATGTCACAAGATGATGTGATTTTAGATGATGACAAAGATGTCGACTCTCCGCAGGAGCAGGACAACTCTGGGGAGAATGACAAGGATTTTACCTGGATTTCTTAGGGATTTTTTTTGTTTTGTTTTTTGTTTCGCTCTGTTGTTTATAGGGGGAGGGAGGGTGGGGGAGGAAGGAGTATGTTGGAAAAACTAAGTAGCCTTGTTGTCGTCCATGTGTGCAAAATAACTCTTGTGTTTTCTAAACAAGTCCTTCTCTGTTCCACTCAGATACTGTCTTAGCAATGTCGCTTCCAGCGACACAACTGACTTCGCCTTCCCCCTTCTCCCTTCAGGAACAGCCCCAACCGTGGCCGCCCCTCCGGCCGAGCCAGCCAGGTTGCACGCAAGTGAGGTAGAGTTTCTGTGGGCGTGAGCGCTGCGCAATGGGGAGGCTGGTTGAAGCATGAGTCCTCGTACCCTTCCCACCCTGAACCGAACACTGGGGAGATTTTTGTGTCCAAAGCAGATTTTTTTTTTTTTGGTGGTTGTTGGTTTTTTTTAACACTTTGTCTGTGTGCTAAAATCCCAGCAGCAGTGGAATTACAAGCTAACGTGAAAGCAAATTTGATGTATGTGTTGGAGGGCTTCCCTTGATGATACAGACCTTTTGCAAAGTTATTTAAAGAGATTTTTTATTATTTTTTATGGAGCCAAATAGATCAAAAGGCAAGTCAGATTACAGCCTTACGAATTCATTTCTTAGATTCTTAGCTTCTGAAAGAATCACTATCAAAAAAAGAAAGATGATGACATTTCTTGGACCTACTGGCATATTACCCGCATCCCGTCTTCCAGCCTTGGTTATCCGTGGTTGCTGAAATGCATGTTGGTGCTTCCAGAAGCACCCTTTGCTATAAAGGACACAGGTAGTTCTCTACCTGTTGTTCTCCTCTGCAAATATATTCACTTTTCTCCCTTTGCTCAGCTGCCTTTTTCGTAAATATATGCAAACCGTAGCAAAAATGAGGCATTTAGCAAAGTGCAGGATGAACTAGGAAGTGCAAGAAGCCAAAGTGAGGAGATCCCACTGGGTGGAAATCTTGCTGTTCCTGTCCCGTAGACTTTGGCAGGGCCAGGATTTCACCTGGGTATATTGTTCTTCCTTGCCAATCTAAAAATTTTCATTCATCACTCGTAGGCATAACACTTAATTCATGACGAAAACCTTCAGCTTTAGCTGTACTGGTTCCATGTAAATTTTCAAATAAACTTTTTTTTAATAAAAAGAACCAGGTTTCTCTCCCAGCGTCTCCTAACAGACTCTGTGGGGCTGCTCCAGGTAGTTGGATTCTCCTCCTTCATATCGGCCACTGTTGCCTTCTTCCAGCTACACCTAAATGACAACAGCAACAAAGTGCATTGGAAGTGTCTTCTTCCTGAGAAGAATCTTGTTTTACCCTTCACCTATTTGCTTCTGGTGCTTTTTTTTAAAATTGATTAAAAAAA